CACTTTAGTTTGCTGAGCTTAGGGCACAGAACTTTTTGATATATCTTCAACTTTTCAATTGTTATTAATAATTCATACCTCTTTTTGCAAATTTGCCAACTGTTCTGACAATCTCAGGTTTTCCCTTCTCGCCTGAAGCAAATCAGCATCCGATCTGTCCAATCTTTGGCGCAATGATGTAATCTCAGAGTTAAGACGCGACATTTCTGATTTGGAATTTCGGTCAGCTCTCTCCAGAGATAATCTTTTTGAATACAATTTTATATTAATAATAATCAAAGTAAGGCAACTAAACTTACTAGGATATCAGCACCTTCAGAGCGATAAGGTAGAGCGGGGCCTAATGATCTGCCCACTATTATTTTCTCAAAAGCAAGTGAAGTATGGAATTTTTTAACGATACTATTTTAAGTAGAAGGCAAAGATTTATATCTAGTCATCAGTGTTAAGGTGATGACTTATCACCTTAATTCTTCGACGTCGCTATCAGGAAATGATGACCGTGCAACAATATTGCATAGCAAAGGTTTTTTATCGTTGTTAGTTTTTTTTGGTTTGAATTCCTTACTTAGTTTATAATGCCTGAATGTAATACTTGATATTACTTGAAAGTCATTAAATTGTATTATAAGATGAATTGTGATTCTAAGTTATATTCAACCAGCTTTTGAGTATACATGTGGGAGAGATAAAAGGATCCAACTAAACCAATACTCTTAAATAAATAAACAATTTAGAAAGTAGCAAATATTAATTTGCATTTGGGTTTCAAAAATATTAATGGTTGTAGATCACAAAACATAATTACCTCAACGAAGCATTTCTTCTTCCAAAGATTGTTTCTCAGCATTGCACTGGGCAAGATCAGATTGCAGAGAAGCTATAAAAATGATATTCATTAGTGACAATTTTTTATTTAATGAACAAAATCCAAGTACCTGTTTTATTTCGAAGTTCAGTTTTCAAATCATCAATCTGATGATTTCTGGATGTTATTTCACGTTTATAATCGGACTCTATCCGGCGCTGTCTTTCTAACTCCAATTGAAGTTTATTAGCTGTTTCCCATTGATTACTCAAATCACCACCTAGTTGATCGACCTGGGATGAAAATAAGATGTCGATAAATAGATGGATAAATAATTCAATGTAATTCTTTCATTTAAATGTTTACTTTCTTAAATATTTTAAGTTCAATTAGTCTAATAGCTTTTGTATTCTGATTGCTATTTATTGAAATAAAACAATGTTTGGTTTATTTTATTGAAAATAGTATTTTCAAAGCAGATGCCCCTTAAGAGGTCGGGTTCTACAGGTTGGAAACCACGGCTTTAACATTTAATAATATAAATTACAAAATTTGATAGAACATGTCGAACGTTGTATAAGCGCATCACTTTACCATATTTAGCATTTTTGCACGATAAAAATATTAACCAAATATAAATAGGAAATTAATAATTTTGATATCGATGGATTCACATTCTGGAATTCCGGTATAAGCAGATGAAAACTTTCCAATTGTTGACTTAATTACCTTATTTATTAAAACAACCAATTTGAAAACCAAATTTTCGACTAAGAAGGGGAACCTCAAGTTTTTATGCTTATTTATCTATGACCTCAAGTTTACTCATCAGGGATTTTGTTGAAATTTTGCAGGGTAATAAAGTTGATAATTAGGATGATATATAATAATATAAATAATATAAAAACTTCTTGAAGTTATTAGCTTATTATAAGCTTAAAATAAGAAAGTTCAAAGATGAGCATAAAAGTTGAAAGTCTGCCATCTTAGCATATTAATAGGAAACACTATAAGTGCACATCTCGAGTTTATAAAGTTTAATTAATATTTATAATTGAACTACTTTTCATATGCCTATAATATTTTAAAAGGTTTTTGTTCACTATGATCTTTATCACTAAGTGAAGCTTTATGAAAACCTCAGGCGAGGAAAACTGAGGTTCTCCTTATAAGTTAATAACATAATTACTTTAGAAATTAATAATTAGATTGCTTAATATGTGTTTTCACATTAAAGATCAATTAGATATAGTTATTTTTAGTAATAAATTTATCAAAATGAACCTGAGCACAATATCGCTTATCAGCAGCAGCTCTTTCTTCGGCAACTCGGCGAGCTGTTTCATGATTTGCTTCACGAACTCTTTCATACTGTTTTTCTAATTCATCCTACAAAAAAAATATTAGAACACCAAATAATTTGGATACAATTGTATGATGAAGAAATGGTGTATCATCTCACTTTTAGTCGTCGAACTTCAGCATCTGATTGACTCTTTTCGAAAATCATTTGCTCCAACAGCCCTTGGTTACGTTTCGATTTTAAAACTGAATCAGATTCGGCATCCCTTAATTGCGATAGACTTGTTTGAAGTTTAGAAATAGTAGCTTCAAGGTTACTTTTATCTCTGAAATTAATATTTTAATATTATTATTTAATATTTTTTTATATTAATACACAAGGCTACCAGATCACGATTGAAAATTAAATTCATGTTACATTTGTCAATTTCTAAAATCTTTGACAATGGTTGGAGGTCTTTGTAATTTTAAGTAATTTTTTTAAATCCCACAGTTTTAATATAATAAAAAAAATTTAAACACGCTAGTTTGATGGTGATTCTTAGGTTCATTCTGTCATCTTCAGGTATTGGGTATTATTTGATTAATAAAATAATAAAAGGACTTATGTGAAATGTAATTTTTCACAGGGAAATGGATAATAATTTTATTTCAGCAATAATATATAATGTTCATCTGTGTTCATAAACAGAGATCTTGGCAAAGGCAGGTTTAGCTGTTTCGGAGATACCGAGTAGAATGTGTAAAAAATGGCAATTTTTGAGAGAAGGAAGCATTCGATTTGAATGATTCAAAAAAATTCTGCTTGGGTTGACAAAACGATTGCTTCTGGGGATTTTTTTTAAATTTTCAAAAAAAATTTTATTAATAATTCTATATTTCGAATATTTCATTATGGTACGGGAAGTTCCAGCAATTTGCCTTAAGACACGATGCCATACATCGCAAAAAAATCAGAAATATTTTTTTTATATATCTTTACGTTTCAAAGGTTTCTAAACATTTTGGCATACCTTAGAAAAAATGGATGTATGTGCGCGTGTGTGTGGTGTATGTATGTATGTGTGTGTATATGTGTGTGTGTGTGTGATGTATGTATATATGTGTGTATGTATGTGTGTGTGTGTGTGCGGATACAAATTTTCGTCGACGACTTCGGGAACACCGATCAACCAATTTGAGTAATTCAAAAAACATTCGATTCGTATTGATAAGGAGACGTGCTAATTAGTTTTAGGCAAAGGCAGGTCTAATCGTTCCAAAGATACGGGGCAAAAAGTGTCAAAAACGGTAACTCAGGTTTTAAGAGAACGGAGGGTCCGATTTTAATATTTTAGAAAACATTTTACTTTGATTGACAAGATGAAGAACTGATTACATTTTTGGGAAGGCAGGTATAGCAGTTCCGGAGCTCTAGTAAAAAAGGCATTTGGCGGTCAAAAAGAGATTAGACTTATTCATGTCAATTTATCAGATATTTTATGGAGATTTTAATAATATGTATTAATTTTGTTCATATTTCTATGGGTTCCTTAACATCGTTTGTCCGTTAAGGTGCGTCCACACCTAACGAACGAACACGAACGAACATAAATGAACGTACCAGAACGAACGGCAACAGCATAGTGTGGACGCCACAACGATCACGAACGAACATAAACAAACATGACGAGCAATGTTCCGCAACTCGTCGGTACATCAAAGGGAATTGTTCGTTCATGTTTGAACTCGTATGTGTAGTGTGGACGCTACCACGAATGTAGACAAACATTTTTCTTTTTTGATGTTAAAATGTGCAGCTAGTTTATGTTGTGTTTATTATAAGATATTGCTGTTATTGACAAATTTTGTGAATTTGAGGACTTTAAATAATTTTACTCTTTCCCGCCACTTTAAATAATAAATCTGACGTTTCACGGTACATCCCCGAACAAAAAGATTCAAGCCCTCACTGCTTTGAGGCGTTTGTTTGGAATTATTCGCGTTCGTTCGTGTTCCTGTTCGTTTTTCTTTGTATTTTCTTATTCGACATGTTCGTTCGCGTTAGTTCGTTAGGTGTGGACGCACCTTTAGGCGGCGATGTTACGAAACGCGACGCTTTGCGTTTCGATATTTTGTCTCTATGCAGCTAAATTATACTTGTTTATCTAAAGCCGTGCGATTGCTTTGAAAAAAAGTTCAAAATTTTCAAAATATTTCAAAGTAAAAAAAATCAATTCAAGAAAGTCTTTTTTTTTAAAAAAAAATTGAAATTTTCTCAAAAATCTCTCAAGTTTTCAAAAAAAAAAAAATTTTTTAAATATTTAATTTTTGGTACGGTATTTTTGATTATTTTTTAATTTTCGGTTTGGTATTTGCTTTAAGGCACGATGTCGTACACCACTAGTTATTCTTCGAATGTTTAATTACGGTACGAGAAATTCCAGCAATTTGGCTAAAAACAACTTACTAATAGATTCACATCCATTCTACTTGCTTATCTATGGTTCTATGATACGCGCGCAAGACTAGACAGGCACGTCTAATTGTGTTTTTGTTTGTATCTATGGCGTTAGAACACAAGATTTTAATTCATGTTTTCAAAACAATTCGCATTTTATTAATTCACTTTTAATCGTATTTTTAAATGTTCACTTAAACGTTTGATTATATTTTTAATACCGATAATAAGAAGATTACTTATGTGATTATTAAGTAATGGAAGGCAGAAAATTACATGAAAAAATTTACGTTGACCGTTGGGAGAAATGTCAAGTAAATAAATTGTTTTCCCTCCGTTTTGATTTAATGTGTATACATTATTTGTCATATAAATATTTAACAGCAATTAAAGTAATTCGTATGAATTTTGATTTTCCAAGCAATTTTATCAACTATTTAGATTTTGACATTAATTTTTAGGCTTGTCATCTTTAATTTCACCAAGATACAAGAAACTTGCATAACATAACCTAAATTAATAAACTATGTATTAATTCGTTTATAACTTATTGTTTTTATTACAGGTTTCAGAATGTTGCTATTTTATGAGTAAATTGCCTTGCAAAACTCCTGAACAACTGAATGAGCAATGGACACATCCAATTTATTCCACAAATGTGAACTTAAAATTCTTGTCAAATTTGACAAGACATTCAGTAAGTAACTTTTAATTGATAACAGATAAATTGATCATCCTGTTTATCCGAAAGAAAATTTAGAAGAAATCAACTCTTGTTACTTATTACCATCTACACAAAGTTTTGTGAATGTAGAGGTGCGAACGAACAAATGTATCTATATTCTTTATATTTTATATTTATCATTAGTCAGTGTTTGTTGAACCATCAGAGCAGGAACTTAAAGCTACCTGATGTAATTTTATAGTATTTTATGTATCAAGTGTTTAATAAATTAATTAACATTAATCAATTGTCTGTAATCAAATAATAATTTCACATCACTCTCGAGTTAATAAAATAACTAATTTTGAAGTGTAGTAATATTTAAAAGGAGTGAAATAGCAAAACCAGCTATGCATAATTTGGAGTCTTAACATTTATATTGTTTTTGCTTCTGTTTCTATTTTCAGGTAAAAAGAAATTTGTTAAACCCTTTAACATTTGGTGAACCGAAAAAAATATCTGTTGCTGATTTTGAGTTTACAGTGACTGCCATAGATCCTGATACGTGTACAGGAAAAGTTATATATCACTTTTCTTGTAAGTAATTGTCATTTTGCGTTTTTAAATTTCATGTCCCGATTTAAGGAGGTATTTTGGTCTAGAGGCATGAATTTTATGTGATGTTTGAAAGGCTGATAAAAAGGCAAAAAATATTCTTCATATCATTTCTTTTTACCAGTTCTTAATTAATGTTTTAATTAATATAAAAAAAGAAGTGGCGGGTCTCAAACAATTGGCACCTGACCATGCCCATGATTTTAGCCCTCCAAATAGTCCAAAGAAGAAGTCCAAAGCCCTCCAAAGAAAAAAATATTTATTATCAATCTAGAATGATTTTGCAATCATATAACAAGTTAAAAGAACTGTTTTGTTTTTCACAAAAATGACGAGAGAGACTGTCTAAAAGTAAAATATTTTTTTTATAACTTTTCTTGATATTCTCCAATTTCTTAAAAATATTAAAATTCGGAATTAAGGAGTGACTTCATACTGAAGTCTATAAAGAAGTCTCTGTACAAATATCAAACAAATCACTCGAGTAGAAATTAAGAATTTGTGGGTATCATATTGAAAAAGACGGTTTCGAGAAAAACGCATTTTAAAGTTACATCTTGTGGGCATATTTTTGATTAGCTTTGAGAATATGTGAACTAAACAAACTTGATTTTTTAAATCTTAATTAAATCAATTCATTTCAGTTGATGGTACTGAGTGTTTGTATATGGATGGTACTTTGATGTCTCCAAGTGTATTCACAAATCCATATATAACACATTTGGGAAACACTAATATTATTGACACAATTTTTATTGATAGTCCACTTTTAGAGCTGCCTATTGAAATCGATATTGATCTGGTTGTTGAACAAATAATCAATATATTTAGGTAAGATTTAAAACAATTATAAATCAAATGTGTTAGGAATATAAATTTGTATATTGTTCTTTATTTTAGTTCCAGAAAATCTGTTGTGTCCTTAGAAACTTTAGGGATGGAAGACTTGTTAGTCAAAATTGCAATAAAGGGCCATACTATACACATTGGCAGTAAACGATTAAACCTTTTGAAATTGCTGAAGAAAGATACAAACTTTACAAAAGAAAAAAATGTAAATTTAAGAATAGTTGAATCTAATACTTGCAAAGACCTTGAAACATGTTTCAGGTATTTTGATATAATTATTATTCAATATTATAAAATTATCATCAATTATCAGTTTTTCTTTTCATTTTCAGACGTTACAAAGATGATCAAATGCACCACATTCTAGTATCACCTTTTTATTCTTTATTAGATATATATACTTTGCAAAAACTAGGTGTACATGTTGTTCGATACTCAGACAACACTACTTCAACAGCTTTAAATAACATTTTAAAAATAATCAAACCCAAAATTTAATGGATTGCAATGAGTCAAACCCAAAAACAGATTTATTAATGAACCTTCTATTGATTTCTAGAACTAATTTGAGTTTAGATTCGACTTATCTGCAGAATGCACAAAGATTATCTCTAGCTGGTGCTTTATCAGGGAGTTCAGAAAACGAGAGCCATAATTCAATCGCACTTGTGGCTGATCCTCCTAAAAATATTGAACATTTGTACACTGATACTCAAGAATCGTTTAATCCATTAGCTACAAGCACACAAAAAACTAGA